AATAAACAAATATAATTTTGAAAAATTTTCTTCCGCTTGTTCGCCTTGACAAGTTTATTTATACACAAAAGCTGCTTAGGTACATTAACTTCAATAAAATAAATGAATTAAAAGGAAAACACAAAATAAAATGTAAGAAGCCTGAAATATCGTAGATTGGTCGTATAAAAATCGTGTGGTGCAGGGGGTGGTGAGGGTGAATTTTCTAAAAATTGTCAAGAAATTATTATTTTTTTGTTATCTACACCATACTGCTCTTAAATTGACAAAACCGCTTTTCAATATTTTTATTAGAAATACTTTATTTTTTCATTTTAAAAACACCGCATAATGCTTTTATATGGAAGTATCTTATGAATAAAAGCTTGCTCTGAGATCTCATTTTTATGTTATCGTCTACCTCGCTGTAACTTGAAAACTATTTGGTTTATCAAAAAAGTGTTTCCTATAAACGATATGCATTGAAGGTTAACGAATCCGTTATTTTTTTAAAAACCCCAATCTGATGGATAGTTTTTGTTTTTAATTAGCAAAATGTGAAACCATGTTGTGAATATCACGGAAGCCAGAGAAGCAGCGAGGAAGGGTCAGATTTGCGAGGACGGTCAGGCAATAGACTTTGCGGTTCCGACGTGCGCTTGTACAACCACTTTCGCAGCGAGAATGATTTTATTTATTTTTTATGTCTACGTTTTAAGTGTCAAAATAGTTTTCTTTGAGGGAGTGAAGTAGTTTTTAATGTGACTAAAACATATTTATTTTTGTGTGGGAATGATAAATAATAACGCATTAGTTATAATTTTCATCTAAATGGATATTAAAATCAGTACATGTTCTAATTGCGAACTTGATTCAACAATCAAATTAAAGCATTTAACGGAAAAAGCTGCTAACACTAAAGGAAAAGTTTTTAACTTCCAATTATGTGTACCTTGTCTATAAGGCGGAAAGCTCATAACGTCAAAACAAATATCCAAACAAAAATTAATTGAATGTGCAAAAATCCGCATGAACATCTGTTAAGACAACGATCCTGATGCTCTACATATTTTTTTGAATTTTAATGACATAAGGGAACAAGTTTACAATGACATAAAAACTGTTACAAAACCTATACGAGTTTTAAATTGCGTATTTTGCCAGAAACGTTTAAAAAATCAAAAGCTCTGACAAGTCATGACTAATATGGAAAAACAAAATTAAAACTCGAAGAAATACGAAATTAAATGCTTCATGCTATTTGACAGAATCACGTAAAACAATAAATAAGCTCGCACATTGGGATTTTTGGTTAAAAAAGTTAAAGGCATCTTTGTGGATCGAAATAGTGAATTCTCCAAGAAGAAATCTATACCTAGAAGAACCTAGAAATTTTTTGAAACGGTTTTCTAAGAAGCAGTAGTGCATCATACTAAGACGGAAACGTCCAACTATTAATCCTTTGCTTCGTCAGCAATGACGAAGATTTGCCAAAATATTAAAACGGAAATAAATGGCATAATTTAAATTTAAAAATTTGAAAATTAAGGATTACAAAACGCATATTCCAAATAATTTATATTTTTTAACAAGTCTTCTTGGCTCCAGCGAAACATGTAATGCCAGGAAAGAAACGGAAATACTTAATATTTGTCAAGATGATGAGTTTAAATGAAAAAGGAATATACCCCTAAACTTATTGGTTTGGGACTCTTAAATTATTAGGAGACCAAGTCAAAAAAACTGGTTGAAACCAGCCACGCTTGTCACACAGTATCTTACACACAAATTTCAATAAATGAAACTATACCTGGAAACTTTAAACTTTTGCCACATAATGTAAAATAAAATAAAAAATTTCACATGTACTTATAACTGAAGCAATATTACAAGAGTATACATCAGTTCTAAACACGTGTCAATATAAAAAAAGGTATAGAGACATTCAATTTTCTGTGAAATAAGATTTTTTAATTTAGACATTTAGATAAGCGAGACAAAAATGATCCCTGACCAACACGAAGGGTTTTTTTTTAGATTAGCTATTTATTGCTACTTAATTTTAGTTGTTATTATGGATGTAATTTTAATTTTTATTCTAGCTTCTATGTACACTTATGTACTATTGGTTTAATATACAATGTTGCAATGTCAAAAATAACAAAAGAGTATCATCCCTATCAAAAAATTCGACTATGAGGGCAAATATGTATCACATTCTCGTAATTTTTGTAAGGTATTTAATAATATACAGAGGGTTCAAATGAATTTTTAGGGGTGGAACTATTATAAAATAATTTTTTAAAAATGTCTCTGGATTGTTAGGCCTTTAAAATTTCTTAAACAGCAAATACCCCTTAGCCTACGAATTAATTACAAGAGCCAAAAATATATATAAAAACAATTTCAGTTTGAAATGTTTGTTTGCGTTTTGTTTACGTTGACGCAATCAAATGAATATCAATATTTTTGATCGCATTATTTAAAAGGAAGTTTGAATTAAGATTCTAAAATTTGTAAAATGTCTTTATAAAATTTTTATCTTGACATCAATTTATAGAAGTTTATGCCTCTTTAAAAAAAAAGTATTTTGAAGATACTCAAACTTTTTATTTAGCTTACTAGTGGCTGCTATTTAATATAAGTAAGTTCTTTTTCGTTATGAAAAAATTAAATATATCCGAAACAATACCATATGTTATAAAAGATTTGTTACTTTTTGGCTACAACACATTCAGTGCACTTCAGTGCAGTAATAATTATTACTGTTATGTAGTTTTTTCATGAAGCAAAAGTTTACATCTTTTTAAAATATATGCAGATCATCAAAAAGTGAGCCCCTTGCAAGTGACGATACGGCTACAAGAAAATTACGTTTAAACGCACCCGAAGCCATTCATGACATGCAACGGATTTAATTTTTTTTGAACATGTTTCATATATTCAGCGAAATTTATATATACCAGAAGCTCTTTGGTCCTCGTGACTTGCCGAATATATAAGGCACTATAAGGCACACCTTGTCACTTAATTATTTTTCTGTCTTTAATAATAATGAAGGACTTTTATTATAGAAAATAAACAAATATAATTATCCAAATTTTCTTCCGCTTGTTCGCCTTGACAAGTTTATTTATACACAAAAGGTGCTTAGGCACATTAACGTCAAGGAAATAAATGAATTAATAGGAAAACATAAAATAAAGAGTAAGAAGCCTGAAATATCGTAGAATTCGCGAGATCAATTAAATAGGTAAATGCTGATAAAGGTTATTTTCAGGCATTGTTTATTTGTATTGGTTCATTTTCAGTTCTCAATTTATACTAGGGTTTAATTAAATATATTACTGCTCTTTTATTAAAGAATGAAATAATTTTGTTTAAAGGTAAATTAATGTTTTCATTGTAGTATTTTAGCCGGAAATTTATGAACTATGTTTACAATTATATAAGAGGAGGATCTTTTGAATAATTCAGAATAGTGTTATAATATAGCCCGAAAACGACAGTTTGACGTATATACATCTATGTTAAAATGCAGTCTTTGCTGCAAATACTTTGGAATATGGTTTTTATAATTATGAAAAATAAGGTCGCAGAGTGCAAATATCGTGTAAGATGTTCGGATACCTTATGTTAGTCTTAGGCATTAGTTCTGTAATCGCTCAACTCTGTTAAAGTTAGTTTGCTTTAAACACTCACAGCAATTTACTTGTCACAGGACGACTGAAAGCCCACAAGACTTTTTTCTACATGTGACTGAATTTGATGCTTTATGAAGTTTTTCAAGATTGTGGGCAGAGTTTGCAAAATGTTTAGTGGAGTTGATTAAAAGAGTCTGAGTTGTTTGCTTTATTTAATAAACCCTGGAACTTAACATAAAAGAGCAAGCCATTGAAGCAGTAGTGCATCACACTAAAACGGAAACGTCCAACTATTTATCCTTTGGTCCGCCAGGAATGACGAAGATTTGCCAAAATATTAAAATGGAAATAATTGGCATACAGAATGCAGAATTTAAAAATTAAGGATTACAAAAAGCAAATAATTTATATTTTTTAACTAGTCTTTTTGTCTCCAGCGAAACATGTAATGCCAGCAAAGAAACGGAAATACTTAATATTTGTCAAACGATCAACTTTGCGAGTTCAAATGGAAAAAAATATTTATATATATAAAAAACTTGTTGAAACCATGCACGTTTGTGTTCACTCAATATCTTACACGGATAAGCGTCGCACAAGAAGAAATTCAAATTTATTTAGAAAGCGATTACGTAACTGTCTCTAGACAATTGACGATGAGTTGGAAAATTTCACATGTACTGATAACCGAAGCAATATTACAAGAGGATACCTCAGTTCTAAACACCTGTCGATGTAAAAAAAGGCAGAGACATTCAATTTTCTGTTAAATAAGATTTTTTAATTTAGGCAAAACATTTCAGGCGTAACGAACCATTATGTTCCTGTAAAAGAAAATTTATGAAATGTATTGGTTCCTGTAAATGTGTGAACTCAATATGTAGCAATAAGCGAGACAAAAATGATCCCTGACTAACACTAAATATCTCTAATTTATCGGACCCTGAAACAAACTCAGACTGAATGAAGAGTAAAAAACGTAATGGCAATTTTCTTTATAAATAAAAAACCTATTATTTTTGCCGAAGATATACGCTAATATTGGATTGGAATGGGAAGAAGGATTTTTTTTTAAGAATAACTTTTTACTTCTACTTAATTTTAGGTGTTATCATAGATGTAATTTTAGTTTTTTTTCTAGCTTCTATGTACACTTATGTATTATTAGTTGAATATGAAGTGTTGCCAATAAAATATAATACAAATAATTACTAATGTCAAATATAATAAAACGGTACCATCCCTATGTAACAAGTAATTAATCAAAAAATTCAACTATGAGAAAAATACGTGTATCATATTCGCTACAAAAGAAGGTCTACAAGCAAAAACGATCCTAAGCGCTCTCCGGAACCGCTAAGTTGTTTATTGCCTGACCGTCCTCGCAAATCTGACCCTTTCTAGCTGCTTCGCTGGTGGCCTTGATATTGACGACATAGCTTACATTCTGATAATTAAAAAAAAAACGGTCCATCCGATTGGGGTTTTTGAAAAAGTAACAGATTCCAAATAGTTTTCATGTTACACCGAGGTAAACGATAAAATAAAAATGAGTTTTCAGGGCAAGCGTTTATTCGTGTGTGTAACTAATACCTCGACCAATAAAAAAGAGAGTTTTTAATTATACTCATCCTCGTTATTTAGTTTTAGATAATAAAAATTTAAATAAACCAAAATAATACTCAAAAAATATTAACAAAGTTTGTGACTATTTGATTTCTAAAATTCATTGCAAACTCAGTCAGAATTATTACTGTTTTGTCGTATTCTCATAAAATCTTAGCAAAAGTTGACATCTTTTTAAAAAATATGTAGCTCCTCCAAAACTAAATCCGCGGCACGTCACAAAACGACCGCCAGCAAATTAAATTTAAACGCACCCGGAGCCATTCGTGACGTGCAGACGTGCAACGGATTCAGTTTTTGTTTGAACCACGTTTGCAATATCGAGCGAATTCTATATACAGCTGAACCTCTTTACTCATTGTGACTTCCTTAATATACAGTCTAACAGCAAAACATACCTTGTCACTTCTTGTATATATGAGAAACTTGGCATCATCGCGGAGTCGTATATGGCAGAAGTGAGAAAGAGTGTCTGATGTCCAATTATTTTGAAAAGAAAAATAATTACCCCTCTTATGCGAAACCATAAATTTAAGCCCCCCTCATCATATGTGGATGTTAGGCCGCCCGCTTCACGTAGCGGAAGTCCCAACTTAACAAGTATCAATATATATATATATATATATATATATATATATATATATATATATATATATATATATATATATATATATATATATATATATATATATATATATATATATATATGATGACACTATATTCCGGGATATCATCCGTTCGCTGTGTTTTCGGAGCGCGAGCATTGAAGATGCCAAGTGAGATTTTGGCGAAACGTCTGCAGGATTCCAGTCGGATGCAAGATTTGCAGGATTCCAGTCGGATGCAGGATTCCAGTCGGAGTTCAACGAGCGAACGGATGATATCCCGGAATATAGTGTCATCACATTTTTCCATCCGTGAATCAATACGTGAGAATATATATATATATATATATATATATATATATATATATATATATATATATATATATATATATATATATATATATATATATATATATATATATATATATATATATATATATATATATATATGATGACACTATATTCCGGGATATCATCCGTTCGCTCGTTGAACTCCGACTGGAATCCTGCATCCGACTGGAACGAGTGTTCGAAGTGTTTTCGGAGCGCGAGCATTGAAGATGCCAAGTGAGATTTTGGCGAAACGTCTGCAGGATTCCAGTCGGATGCAAGATTTGCAGGATTCCAGTCGGATGCAGGATTCCAGTCGGAGTTCAACGAGCGAACGGATGATATCCCGGAATATAGTGTCATCACATTTTTCCATCCGTGAATCAATACGTGAGAATATATATATATATATATATATATATATATATATATATATATATATATATATATATATATATATATATATATATATATATATATATATATATATATATATATATATATATATATATATATATATATATATATATATATATATATATATATATATATAGTAGATGAATAAAGGGACATCCAGGCCCACATAACCTCACTTTTTGGCTTCCCGACCACGGGCCCCGCGCCCATGGGTCACTCGGCCATGGCTCTTCTTCTTTTGGCACATTGGCGACTCGCCCATAGGCCACTCGCCCATAGGCCACTCGCCCATAGGCCACTCGCGCATAGGCCGCTCGGCCATGGGTCTTTTTTTGTGTTCTGGCCGTTCGACCGTAGGTCGCTCGCCCATGGGCCGCTCGGTCATGGATCTTCTTCTTTTGTGTTTTGGCCGTTCGACCATTGGCCGCTCGCCCATTGGTTCAAGGTCAGTCGCCCATTGGCCACTCGCCCTAACCTAACCAAACCGTCGTCCGTGGTACCAACCTAACCAAACTGTCGTCCGTGGTTCCAACCTAACCAAACCGTTGTCCGTGGTGCCAACCGTGGTCCGCGGTGCCAACCAAACTGTTGTCAGTGGTGCCAACCGTGGTCCGTGGTGCCAACCGTGGTCCGTCGTGCCAACCAAACCGTTGTCTTTGTTCGCCCGCGTGCCGTTCGGGGGCCCGCGCGGGGGGCGTAGCCCCCGCTGGTAGAGTCCCCGGCCCCCCGCCACCCCGCCATCTCGGAGGGGCTCAACATCAATCCCATAGTTTTTTTTAATTTTTAAAATATTGTCGATGTTGATGTAAAAAAAAAATCTTTAGTGTTTTTTTTTTATTTAGACACACAAACACTCCTCCAAACAACAACAACAAGAACAAAACCTGTTGAATCGGAAGTGAAAAAAAAGTTACATACACATTTTTTTTTACATTAGAATAAAAAAAAAGACCAACATAAGCCTAATTTTTTTACAAATATTTTTTATTATTAGGTCGCAATGAATCGTCATTAAATTATTATATATTCTGGTGTGATCGTCGTTTTTTCTGAAGGGATTCTAAAAAGACTATCATAAGCCTAATTTTTTACAAATATTATTATTATTATTAGGTCGCAATGAATATGTTAAAACAAATCAATTATCGCCATTAAATTATTATATATTCTGGTGTGATCATCGTTTTCTTCGGGTTCTAATTCAAAGTGTATTTCGGAATAGCAACTTTCACACCAACTCCTCTGACTCTGGTATACCATATATATTAATGCACAGGCTTCGACTGTAGGTATGTGCCGATAATCGCAAAAATCAAATTTGTCAAATTTGATTTTTGATTTTTTTTCAAAAGTTATAAAAGCGTATTTGCAAGATTCATAAACCATCAACAGAAATGTTCGGGTCATCACTATATAGTGTTTTTCCCATAAATAATAGCTATAATGCTCAAAAGGATAGTCTGTATACCTTGGCCATACTAAAACGGCATTTCGATGTGCCAACGATACTTTCTTTTGACGGGTTATCAAACTCAAATCTGGTGGAGGTGGTCGTTCACATTTGACAGCGAGTGCATTAATATATTTCCACCTATATTCGGGATATTTTTCCATTATCTGTAGCGTTAGCGTCCTCGGTAAGGTCGTTTCAAGCAGAAAATGTGCAACAGAATGAACGTTTTCACTAATTGACTTTATACATAGATCTTTCAACGACAACAATTCGGCCATTGTCTACAACAGAGAAAAAAAAATTACAGTGCCTTGTAATGTCCCCACGGAAGAGTATCAAACGTGTTTGCTATAAGATACCTTTTGTCGTCATACGGACTTAGCGCCACTTTAATTTGTTCGATACTAAACACCTCGTGCGTATAAGAACGAATGGTTCGTTGAGTAGCATGTTTTTCTTTTAAATTTTTCAAGCAATCAACAAAATCTTCAAAAGTTATTTTATTTTTAACAATCTGGTAGTTTACACCCTTTGATTTTTTTACAGTTTTTCTGTTTAAGATTTTATAAGTGTACATTTTCAATCTTAGTCCGACATAGTGTGAAATTATTGAACCGTTGGCCTCGTCCTTCATTAGACCCAGTACTTTCTTATTGACGCGAGGCATATTGTATGGATTATCAGTGGGATAGTCGGACGTGTCGAATTTGCTTAAATTGGACTTAATAACCTCTTCGTATACATCATCACAATGGATGTTGTAAATGAAACTGTCCGTGTCCATATACTGAATTTTACATTTCTCCGGACCTAACTTGGGTAGCATGTAATCGTAATGAAACGAATACATGATAATTTTAGATAGATCCAGAATTGACATTCCAATGTAAAGGGGTTTGTTAAAAATAAGTTCCGATTTTTTCAGTTCCACCAACATTAGATTATCATCTAGTACAGTTCTATTGTAAAATCGGGGACTAGCAATTAAATTTTTAGCACCGTAACGACCCTCCCACTTTCTAACAAATTTTACGACCCGATGCTTACGTATGTTTTCCATCGTTTTTTCCGAACACCGCGTTGTTAAATAATTTAAAAAGATTTTTACCAAAAGTGGTAGTGGCTTGCGTCCGTAAGTGATTATTTAGATCGATATATTCTTTTAGCCAAGAAGATTGCCTAAATTTTAATACTCTGTGTATTTTAGTAAGAACGAGTCCGTATTTTAAAGCTTGCTTTAAATTTCGATAGTGTATAACGTAATTGGTTTTATTAAAAAGGGTTGTCATCAATTTTGGAAATTTTGAATTGGGAGGCACGCGATGCTCGGCACAAAATGGGAAATCTTTATGTAGATCGTGTAAACTCTGAGGGTATTGCAAATCTACTTCCAAAATATAGCCTACCCCGCTCGTGTCTGGAACATTATTAATGCTAAGGTAGGCAATTTCTTCCCGAGTCAACCATGTGAATCCGCCGTAGGGAAGAGGCTCCGACATAGCCTTGCCGTAAAGATTGTTAACGTCAAAAAATGTGAGATAATTTGATTGCTTTGATGGATCGTAATTGGAGATGTACTTGTTGTTTGCCTCAAAGTATCTGCCAACGCACACCGAAATCCCACCCCGTATACCCTGTTCGATAAACATAATCTGATCAATGTCACGCATCAGTTCTAAACGACATTTTGTGAATCTAAGCATACAGTCCCACGTATATCCGGGCATACTAAAATACCATGCTGGGTCCAAAATATGCGTCACCATACAATTTTTTCGAAAATTTTCAAATATGTCGGCCAAAAGAATAACGTCCGTTTTCAAATATAAATCCGAATATTCGCCCAAGTTTTTAATTTCAAACGCGGACCAGACTTTTTGCGCATGAGCATACTTTTCTTCACTAATGTCGGACTCATATAATTTATTGTAAAAAGCATCGATGGGCGGTAAACTCGTTTCGTTTAATTTGTCGTAGTCGTCTATGTAATCATAACAAAATACACCCTTTTGTGACAATAAATTTAGTTTTGATTCGTCTTGAAGGTGAGAAAATTCCTTTTTTAATATGTAAAGTTCATTTTTGTCGACGCTGTTTACCAAATTGTCTAGAGACGCCCCCAAAAATCTAAACGAATCTATAAATCGAAACTTTAGCTTATATACGGGGTCGTAATAGGTAAAAGATATGTATTTTTCCTTGTTGACCGGAACCAAACTTAAAGGCCCTTTATTGCCCAAGGCCCTAAGGATAAAATGGGCGTCGTACCCTGAGAGATTCTGGAATACTACGGGCACTATGAACAATTTTCTAAAATTTAAATTACAAGCCTGATGGGCGAAATTTCTGAATTTCCCGGTAAAATGGTCGTGGTCGCGGACAATGACGTCTTTCGGTGAGAAAGGCTCTTCGCAAATATGACAATGTGTCGAAACTTGAAAGAAAGTAATTGACCCTTCCATGGGTACGATATCAATAAATTTCGATTGGACAAATTTCGATAAGTCAGATATTTGTCGGACGAACCAATCCATACAATCTGGGCCGCGATAGGATTCGAAAAAGGACAAAGAATTGTCATAAGAACATTTAAAATAATATGCGGCACTATATGCCCCATGCTTTTGATATTGATGAAATTACCAAATTTACATCTTTAAGTTGACTTTCGAAATCGGCGTAGATTACAAATGGCGTGGTTTGTTTGTATATATGGTTTCGAAATTCAACATAGTCGTATTTGGGAAAAGACACTTTATAATCGTTCAAACTGACACACAACCTTTCATGATCCTTTAAGAGCCTTTCGCTACTTAAGTAATTTAAACACCTATCGCAAATATATTTTTTACCGTTATGTCTACTAAGCTGGTGCGACACTAGTCGAGATAAATTTTTAATATAACAATAATGATATTTAATTTCTTCTTCTTTTTCATATTTATGGTCCTCTGTTGTCGTCGGTTCCGGATCAAAATCATCAATTTTTGGATAATACTTATTTTGAATTAATAGTAAATTGACATGTTTTTCGCGTTTTTCTTTAGTCAAACGGGCCGGTAACACTGAATAAAAACTTACGGTTATTTTGAATTAACTCTAAAACGTACACATTTACGGAAATTTCGTTGAATTTTTCAAATATATCAATTTGATTTAGACCCATCGGTGTTGGGCAATTTTCAGTTCTTAAAACGCCCTTATAATAAGGATATGAAGTTGGTAAGTGTTGTTTGCGATGTACAGGAAAACAAGCACAGACCACTGACCAATAAAAACAGGCTTCGTCATTATTTTGAATATTAATGCATGCATTTTTTCTCTTAATTTCTGGGGGCAATTCAATGTAGGAAGAGCCGTTACCGACTTCAAATTTGTTAATATTAATTTCCAAATAAAGAATTTTTTGCAAGGCAAATCCCGAATCGCGTCCTTGAAATTCAGACAATTTATTTAGAATTTGACTTTTCGTTTAAATACGTCCCCAAGTCGATGACAGCATTTTTGGTAGAAATATATTTCACGTCGGTCACGTCTTGGTCGTCGCTTTATCTCTTTATAAATTCCCCGCAAAACGTGGCATTTACTTTTAGCATTGAATTTTTTTTCTTAAATATGACAAGACAGTCGTTTAAAAACTGTTGTTCGTCTTTGTGTTTCAAATTGATTATTGCACCTGTTAAAACTCTTCCCTGGAAACAAGACACGATCTGCTCCCACAAAACCCTTTGTTTTATATTTGCGGGACTGTTGTTTTGCAACCCCATTCCAAAATGGTGGCGATGATTCAAAATCATTTGTTTAATAGTCTTAAGATGTTGAATTGTTTTCTGTATTTTTCTTTGTAACCCCATGGATATATTTTTTTTGGACTACGAACAATCTTGTTGCACCGAATGATGTTTCTGCGTAAACGTCCCAACCAAACATTT